GGGTAGCGGTCCATCTACCCAAGAGTTTGACCATGCCTTTACTGCGTCTGCTTTTTTCGTGCGTTATTTTGCTTAAAGGCATATGGCACGATAATTTGGTACTCGGGGTGCTATATAGGGAAAATTGGGAAATAATGAAGTAAAACGGTCAAAAACCTGCGAAGAGTCAAAAGCCTTAGTTCCTTTGACTTAGAAAGGAATTCCGGACGAGTTTGCCGTAAGCACCTTGCCAATAACCGCTACGGTAGGTGCGGCTGCGCAAACGTGCTCATTCATATCAATCCATTCGCTCCACATTTTACTTTGCAAATGAAGCAATACATCACGTACGGTTGTCCATTTGTGGGCGGGCGGGCGTGGTGGGCGTTCGGGTCGGTATGTTGCAGCTTGATAGGGCTTTATAAGGGTACTCCCATTGGAAAAGGCGCTATGCAGCGCCATCTCGAGGGCGCGGAATCCCGTCCTGCCAGGTGTATTCCTACTCGTCTTGGGGGATTTATCGTGCCAACTGTCTTTGATCCCAGATACTGTGGCCTCACAGAAAACAGTTTCTGTCGCCGCGCGAGTTCTTTCTAACCTAAGATTGCCCAAAAATAGCAGCAATGTTCGATTACCACCTCAAGCCCTGTCCAGGCACACCAGGAACTGACGCAACTGTTAATGAAGCTGATAGAAATTAACAGCGATCTACAAGTTTGTTCCAAACATGGGTTTGAAAAATTGCCCCAACCCCCCCCCCCCTCCCCTTCTAGAAAAGTTTGCGGCGACGATTACGATTCGATGCTCACAAAGCGGAATGACCTACTAGCGCTATCATGGAAACCGCTTTTATGACTATGAGCGCTTACCGACACATTGGATCGCCGTTCGCGTCGTACAGTTGGCCACCCCAGTGAGCTGGGATGCACTCTGGCTTAGCCTTCTGTAATAATGAACTGTATGCAAATAGACAGTGAATCTCATCAAGGAGCAGGTAGGATTACCTTTTGGATCTGATCCTTCCAATCGCTGTTAGTCGTGCAGAGTTGCACTTTATTCCGTGTTCTATCAGGTAGTAAAGGACCGATCGCCTGAAATGAGTGCTTGCTAAGGATGATTCATCAACGAGATGCCCATTCGAAAAGAAGTCAGATGTCCCGAAACAAAAAAAAACGAAAAGTACAAGTGTCTCTGCGATGAAGTACAAAGGAGCGAGTTCCTTGGAAGTGGTCGCGTGCGGATGCGTTGCTGCTTTACAATGAATGCTACATCCTTTTTTCTTTCTCGTTCTGCGAAAGACTTTGCTGCAGCATCCATTCCCTTAAATTTAGCACCGCAACGCGACCGCTTGCATGTATGGTGGGGCGTCTCTGAGGTGGAGAAGTGAAACATACGCACCTTCCAAACCAGACCCATAAATGGTGGAGCGTTCACAATGATGCACGTGTCAATCCATTCCGGATAGTTCGTGTAGACAGACTCCCAGAGAATGCGGTATGGACCTGAATTTCAGTAATTGTACATCTCAGTTTTTGATTCAAAGGACATTAGAGCAGGAGAGTCTATGAGGGGGCAAGACAAATGTTGGAAAACCCCAGCGAGGAGAGTCATTTTTTAGCCGTTGTGATTAGGGAAGAGTCGTATTTACTTTGTGATATTGACTTTTCTTAACTTTCCCGTTTCAATTGCTCTATATATTGTTTGACAAAACGGTTTCCTTTGTTCGACGATTCGGAATCAGGGCACAGCGTTCGATGGGGATTCCCTATGGGGGGTCGTATTTGGGCTGGGAAAAATTTATTTTTATAGTTGATTTTTCTCGCTTTGCGGACGTTTTGGAGGGGGGTCGTATTTCTGGCTAGGAGTTACGTGGTTCACTTCATGAGTTTTATGAATTTTCTGTGTTATAGGTACTATGTACGCCCGTACGATGTACGTCGCATGCCTACTACATACCCCCCCCCTCCCCCGCCCCCCCGCTCGACAACTTTTTCGCCGAGTATAAACCACAACCACAGTCAGCATGTCCAGGCCAGCGTCACGAGCACGGGGGGGGGGTACCAGCCGCCTGAAAAACAAGGGAGGCGGCTTCGTAAAGCATGAGGACCAAATTATACCCCATCGAGTGCTGTGCCCTGTTCGGAATCGTCTGAAAAGCTGTGAAAAGTGTTAGGAAATTGGGTGAGCCCAAGAAGATGGTTGGTAAGCTGGAGGATGAGGCAGGGGGGTGGGTGTAGTAGAAAAAGGCCAGAGAAGGAAATCCTGCGAAGGTGCAGGGGGATCCGTCGCAGAATTTTTTCCCAACGGTCTGAATGTATGTTGCGTGCAGCACGAGCAGCACTAAAAGGACCAAACGGATGTTCTGCGTGCTTACCATTTCCTTAAAAAAAAAGCGGTTATATATTTATTGTACAGGCTTGAACCTGCTAGCACAGATGTCAGCGAGAGGGGGGGGGTTACAATATGGCGGACAGATCTCATACGATGTTCCGACCCGACTAATTTTGTCTGCTACTTTCTCGATATGGGTTAGCTGTGCGGGCTACCCTTCGTGGGGGAAGTATATTCACTTGTACTTTGAGAATCGGCGAACTCCCGCTCCCCCTCTCCCCACCTCCTGTTGGCGCCGCAATTCACTGTTTCTTGTAACTGAATGCGAGGGGACCTACCCACGTTCGAAAGACTTTCTTTGGGCAAAACTTGTGAAATTTCTCGCAAAATGGTGAGGAGTTGAGAGAGAGTTCAGGAGGTAGGTAGGTTATGAGAGAGGAAGTCGTACCCAAGAAGAAACCTTGGAAATCTGGACACAAGGTCTTTCTGATACCCGCAGCTTCACTAGCGGTGAGGGGGGGGGGGGATGATTCTCAATTGATTCAACGTCGCTAACACCTTCTAGCGCTAGGTGGAACCCATGGACGAGATATTTAGCGAATTTTTCAATAAAACTGGATTCATTTATGAATTGCTGCACAGCTCGCGACAAATCTGTGCGTTCCGATCTTTTTGTTTACGCAAAACGATTTTGAAAAACAACTCTCTGACTTGATGTGAATGTGCATTCATTGCTGTAATGTATTATTTGTCTCGGTCACAGTGACTAACCCGCGTTCTCTCGTCAACATCCATTATCAGTTGATAATTGATAACAGCCCAAAAGTGGTGACAGTCTGATTCGATTATTGCCGGTTACCGTGCAATGACATCCCCGAGATTTTCGTGTTATTGAAATTGACACAAGGTTTGGATGATTCGGGCCTAATCACGGGTAATTGATGCTTTGGAAAAACGGACTCATTTATAGTTCAATGCAAAGTCTTCATCAAAAGAGCCTGGTGTTGGGGAATTGCGATTCGCCGGCGAAGGATAGCCCGGATTCGAGAGTGTGGCGAGAGCAGCGCTTTACGGCGTAAAATTTAATACTAGAAGAAGGCGAATGAGTAACCAGCAGGCTAGCTGGTCTGACTAGGGACTTATGGGCATGCACGTGCTTTTGCGGGGAGTAATATTTATGTGGGGAGGGGGTCTTCTCCAGGCATAAAGGATAAAGGATAAAGTCTTCGCCGTTGATCAATCCCTTTGTGGGATGCGGCACGCATTCTACTTCCATTCAGAATCGTAGTGGCTTATTGAATGCGATGTGGCCTATACAATGACTTGCGGTGGCCAGCCGATGTACAAGTCAGTGTTTTATCCTCCCAGACGAATCTGGTACCAATTTACCGTCCCGGAGGGTAGAAGGCTTGGGTTGGCCTGGGCGGGAGTCGACTCGGGATTTGAACCCGGCGCCGCGCGAGTGGTAAGCGCGCCACTTGTCACTACACCACCCTCTCCGCCTCTCCCGAGCATTTGCTACGCCATTTATACTAATTCCATTGTCCATCTTATAGGTCTGACAAGCTAGCAGCGGGACGCACTACTTCCTATGGCCAGTAAGAGGCTAGTCAATACCTGTACAGATACAGGCGATACAACCCATGTCCCTCCACAGAATTTTTATGGGAGGTATCGGCTATGATTGACGGGAATCAGCGAGATGCTCCCACCGAGCAAAACTGCTGCGATTTTCCACCTAATTTTTAATTAATCTGAGTTGATTTTGCTACTCTGTGACTGTTTTTGGCAAGCCCCACCAAGAATAATCTTTTGGGGAATTTTTGTGAGCACTTCTGCACTGCGCTGCATTCCCCTCTTCGAACTTTCCTTATCTTCAAATAAAGGAATTTCGAGAGATATACAGTTATCTTGGCAAAAAGCCAAACTTTCAAAGCAACTGCTTAGCAGAGTCCCGGCATTTTGAAGTTTGCCATCTTGGATACATTCTGGAAAGGGTTCAAATCGCTGTTAGCGCAGCAGAGGTCGTCAGAGCACTTGAACGCCCTGTCAAGGACAGGTTTGAATGACCGACAAGGAATTTCAATGGTGTGAATTGAATTCTTTCCATATTTTCGTCATACTTCAGATCATCGAACGAATTTACTTATGATTTTCTCCTACTTCAGAGCCCCTAATGCTCCATGAAAACCAGATCACGTCCCGTCAAATTTTTGCAAAATAACTCTTCCAATATCGAAATTTTCTCCACCCTTCTTCCTTCAATCTTCCTAGGCACTCTCACTCAGGAAATTTCATTAATTCAGATTTTGTTCGAGTCGGTATGACCCTCCCCTAGAATTGACTTGATGCGACCCTTCCTAATTCCATTCCCTGATCGAGCTGTCGAGGGGGATCAACTGCAAATCCCTCTCACCTCAGAAGGCCCATATACACCTCGCCCCTCGTTTATAGGCATTCGTCGAAAACAAGAATAAAACTATCGAGAAATTATCCTCAGACCTAAATGTGACGTCCTTTCGGGGAATCCCAACAAGTATACTCGAGATCCCTGAGATCGGGTAGGCGGGGCTGCATTCTTCAACTTAACCTGAAGGTGTCTATGCTTCTGGTGGAATATTTCCATCTTGACACAACTGTTGTCGTGTCTCTGTCCAACACAGAACAAGATGACAGTTGTCCCAGATTGGAACATATTCCAGTCATGAGTAACCAGTCCCGTGCATGTTCGAATGCGCTAACGCGCTTACTCCTGCTCCGAGGATAAGGATGTATGTTCCCCTAGTGGCCATGTTCTCATCCATTCTCCGGAGCTTTTCCTCAAAAACTGGCAGCGCAGGCACTGGACGGGACATCTAGGGAGAAACATCAAGAAAAGGCAACGATGCAACCAAAAAGATATTTTGGAAGCCAATACGGCCCTCCTTTCTCTAACGGTTGGATACGACACCTCGCTGGGGACCAGCGTAGATGTGCACGATGTGCCCGCGTTGAAATTCCCAGTCTTCCCTCTCACACTTTCAATGAGTCAATCCTTACCTGTAACAATACTCAAAAGGGAGGTATCGAATTTGAGTCCATCTAAATCGAGAATATAGATGACGGATGCCTGAAACAAAAACTTATTCCAAGGTCGTTCATTCAAATCAGGCAGAACAGAACGCTTCGCTCTTAAGCCACCTGTTTTCCAGTTTCCGCTTCAAGTTCATTAAGCGCACCCAACATTTTCTCTTGAAATCGGAATCGTTGTATAAGAAAATCGGACAACTGGACCGCTTTCAGTATTCCGACCAAATCGATTCGTCCAGCGCATTCTATCACCAACAGAGTGTTGTCCTGACCCGTTTTCCCTACAACAGCAACAACGCGATTCCCTTGTCAACCATAAAAACTGGATCCAAAAATAAACCCACCGACTAATCCGATAGGGAAATATTGTTTGAGGATTGCGTGTTCTGGAATTTTATGCGCATTGTCAAGATCGTAGAACTTTCGGAACTTCAAATGACGTCGAAGTTGGGCCGAAGCCTCTTCCATATCGAAACCGTAACCCTGAAAGTTTGTTGGTTAGAAATTGATGGATCCAAAGTAAAAGGGCTAAGCCCTACCTGAGCCCATCGCAGTAAATTGAAGTCGGTGTCGTACTTTGGTGTCAAAAGGTCGCTATTCTGCAAATGTTAGAAGTAGTTCTGTGATCAAATTGAGAGGTGGATTTGTTCATGAATTTTATTTACTTAATCAAATCTTGTTCGGCTCCTCCAGAGTAATCCCCGTCTTACAATTATGCCATTAAAGCCAAATAAAGGTACGTGGTATCGGTGGGGTGGGAGTGGGCGGAGATGGGAACAGACCACACAGATCGTTAGCTTTCCAGGCTCTTAAATCAATGAGCCGCAACTTAGCCAAATAGTTTCACTGTACAGTGCAAGGGAACTTATGTACTGGAGCACCAATATCATCGCTGACCTTTTGAAATCACCATCTAGAATTCAAATCTGACATTCTGTAACGGTTATCAAGAAAATAATTCAAACTTGTTAGCATTTCCTTTATTTTCTTTCAAAAGACCGCCTTTAGCCTTCAGAACGTCCTTCAGAAGTTTGACGAACATTCCCCATTATACCTATGCACTGCTAGTCAATTCAATCCTAGGAATCTAGAAGCGCTAGGGCACTTTGAATTTTCAGCGCACGGTATAGTGGACGTTTTTTTCAAGGCTATCCTTACAGAAAAATCTGCGCAGTTCGCCTTGGAGGGAGCGCCATATGGTTGGGCCCCTAGTAGGCCGAATTGCGCTGAAGCCTGCGTAGGCGACCTTGTAAAGACGTACAAACCCCTAAAACCAAAGTGGCTCACTTGTACTGTTTCGCAGCTTCGCAAGCGTTCAAAGGGGCCTGTACTACCTATTGGTTAACGTGAACTAGCAAACGGAACTAGCGACAAGGCAAAGGGCCTCCCCCTAAGCCGAACTGCGCCTCTTTCAGATTTCGAGAAGATTTGCAGAACTGGAGCGTCGTTCGTTGTGGCTGTTGACGTCATGGAGCTTCTTGGCCCACTATTTCTGGACCAGTCTCGAGCTGTTGCAGAGTCTTCGTGAAACCAACAGCCGGCCGTTCCGGTGTGGAAATTGGATTTTGCTAACAGTTCTGGAGCCCCTCTACCTTCTGCCTTGTTTTTGCGCGCAGTCTTCTACGAACGCAAGCATAGTTTCCTGAGTGCCTGCCCGCCAACCCATCATGGTTGCTTCTCATCGGTGGCATCTCGTAAGCCGTCACAAACCGGGATTCCCAGCGAGGGGGGGATGGTGGTTTGGTCGCTAAATGATGATATATTTGGCCTGAAAAATTTTTTAAGAGTCGATTTCTCCTGTTCTATGCGTGCTAACCACTTTGTTGGGAAAATCAAGTTGGAGAGGGACGGGGAAAGTCTATCTGCTCGCCTCTCTGAGAGAGGGATCGCAATTTGCCTCAATCTGGCCTTCACATGTGCTCTATAGCCCTTCTCCTCCTAGCCGCTCGACAAAGAAATTTCGAGGACGAGCGGTAGGAAGTCGGGAATGGTAGTAAGATGGTAAGTAGAATGGTGGTAGGGGGAGGGGGAGGGTAAAGAAGGAAATTTCGCGAAGGTCATATTCTGCGAAAATTCCTCCCGGCGACGGGGAGTACCCCCAGTTTGCCCCCCCCTGGTCGTATAATTTGGAAGTTGACAATTCCCTTTTCGCGATTGAAAACGAGGTCTGAAGGGCATGCAAAGAGGGCCGTTCGTCCCATGCCTGAAAACGTCAGGGCTAGAGGGGGCCACTTTGAGTGCTGCTAACGATTTCTGGACTGCTATAGTCGTAGTAAACAATATCCATAGAGGAATCGAGTACTGTAAGGGGAGTTCAGATTGAAATCAAAATACTGGATACAAAATGGGCCGCACCCCGTAACCGGTTGTGGCTAGAGTAGCACATCAAAGGAGGACCCCACACAAAGCCAAAGTTCATTGGAAACCGAACTTGGGCACTTAAGACAACATTTCACCCTGTTTGAAACACTTGTAAAACTCCTTCCTGGAATGGTCTGCAGTTCACTTCATAGTCTCCTCTGGTGTTGAAAGGGGTCTTCGGAGCGGTTCAATCACTTAATTGAGTAGCCAAAATTTACGTGTCGCTAACTAGACAAAAGTGGCGGTTGTTGAACTTCTGAGGTTTTTTTTGTGGGCCCTTTTTTGCGAAAGTTCCACTTGAACGACCAAACAGTTCTCTGTGAAAGGATTGACCGGCATCGGTGAAAAGTCTACACACGACCTTGAATTCGGAGCGAATTCGGCGCGACATTTTTTTTCCGCAGTTTTTCAGCAAAGGTCACAAAACCTCTGCAAGATCTCCAAAGTTTCTGCAGAAGAAAGGCAATTCCGCAAGCAACTTTAAAGGCACGTTCCGCGATAAACTAGGGCTAGGTTCTCATAACCGTGCCCGACGGTCAAGCAGGCAACGTCAGAGGCTATGCTGCTTACAAAAGTTGAAAAGCAGCAA